TATACTATATATATTATTATATATATATATATTATATATATATATATATTATTATATATATATATATATATATATATAGACCTATGCAGAAATACTGCACAGAAATAATTATACGTAGACCTTTACAGAAATACTATACAGAAATATACATATATATATATGTGTGTGTGTGTGTTTATATGACCATATCTATAAGTATACAGGTATGTATGAATGTATGGATATGTATTCATATGCTTACGAATATATATATATATATATATACGCACTGCTAGATTTATGTATGTATATGTATATATACAAATACATTTGTTTATATCTATGCGTCTCTCTATATACACACATATTTATATTTATATATATATATATATGTATGTATGTATAGGTATAAATATATGTGTATATATTTATATATAAACATACTTTTAATATAGATCCGATGGATCTCATCTTACAAGGGGGACCTTGCGAAGCGGGATCACATATTTGTATGTATATGTATGTTGATATACTTGTTAATTTTATATGGATATATGTACATGTCTATTCGTATATATATTGATATGTGCTTATCTGTATCGATATGTAGGCATGTATGTATGCATGTATGTGTATGTTTTTATATATATAACATATATATTGATATTTACAAGTACATGTATGTTTATACATGCATATATGTACATTTTTATACTTATATATATATATATATATATATTATCATATATATGTATATTCATTTATTCATACACATCCACGTATGCATCACATGTCCATGTATCTATATATATATATGTTTATGTATATGTATATATATCTTGTTCCCAATTTGCTGTTGTACTGTATCGTCGTGTATAGCTTTATCCCGACATGTGCGTTTGTGCTGACGTTGTTATTTATATACAAACTCACTTGTTGCTTGGCGGCGCATACAGTTGAAGCGTGTATATGTATATATTTCCGAGTTGTTTGTTGGTCGATTGCAATGTACAAGCATATCCTTGAAGTGGGGAGCATCGAAAAGCTTAAGTCCTACATATTATCTGAATGAAATAGTGACATACTCGCCTATTGCTATTTTCCGAGTTTTATCATAGTTCTGCACATGATGCTGTAGACAAATTTGGCTATAATTCGTAGCAATTTGAACGCATGCACATTGTACGTACGCAAGATGGATTGTCGAATCGTATTAAGGTGAGCTGTATAGGAATGTTCGGGACATGTTCTATCTCGGACTCTATTGGCTACCTCTATATACGGACACTTGTGTTCTCACAGACAATTCTCGATAAAACGCAGTGAGAAATCTAGGCCCAAACTTGCAAAGTGTGGGCTTCACTGTGGTGTTTACTTTCTTCTTAACCGATCAAACGCGTTTGCCCGTATTCGCAGAAGGAACTGCAGTGCAGAAGCTTCGCCCACGCAGATGTTTAGTACAACACCAGGGGAAGGACACCCGTGTGTGTGGCCTGGCTGTAAGTTAAGCCTGGACTCCGCAAGCGCTCTGTCAGCCCATATACGCACGCACACGCATCCGCACGCCTGCGACCATCCCGGATGTGAGAAGGCGTATACGACGAAGTTCGATCTTAAAACACACAAACGAATTCATACGGGCGAAAGGCCGTACAAGTGTGACTATGAAGGTTGCACGAGCAGCTACACGCGCGCGGCCTTTTTAACCATCCACAAACGCAGTCATACGGGAGAAAAGCCGTATAAGTGCACCCACCCCGGGTGTGACTATGCAGCTGCACGTCTGGACTACTTACAAGTCCACATGCGGTCACACGATGGCACAAAGCCCTATGCCTGTGACTTCCCGGGCTGCGGCAAAACGTATGCCCACGCTCACTCACTTAATAAGCATAAACGTATACACACCGGCGAGAATAAGAATTTTACCTGTACGCATGATGGGTGTGGTAGAAGGTTCAATAGTTTATCCGACCGAACCAGGCACGAGCGAAGTCATACGCGTGATAAGCCGTACAAATGCGAATTTCCCGATTGCGGCAAGGGCTTTGCGAGAAAATCTTATCTAGACACGCATATACTCTCGCACACGGGAGAAAAACCTTATGCATGCACCCACCCGGGTTGCGGCAAGCGGTTTATTACATCGAGCTATCGTAATATGCACATGCGCACAAAGCACCAGGCGGATGACGCTTCAGCTGTCTAAACAGTTCGGTACATAGCTACTCTGTGATATAACCACGCAGTGCAAACGCCAGCATTCTGGTTGTACCAAGGCGTTTGCGAAACGGGCCACCTCACACACAACCGTACATACACAGCGCCCTATGCGTGAACACATGCGAGTTGTGGGAAACGGTTTGGCAAATTGGGTGGAAAACGTTTATGCCGGTGAGATAACAGTCTTGTCCTAGAGCTATAGCTTTCTTGATAGGCGCTAAGCTAGGTGATGCGACGGCAGTACTACCACAAACCCCAAACTCCAGCGTTTTACAAACCCCAAACCCTAACTCCAAGGATTTGTACAGTTCCCGGGGGGGGATGGGACACGTCATCCCGCTGTTGCTAATATAGTGGCAATGCTCTAGTGTTACATATATTTTTAATATCTCACAAATGCACCGCCACGACTACAGCCGGAAAATTGTGTGGGATGAGGAACGCGATTGCTTGCGTATAGGCAGAGTGTGTTACGAAGGCGTTTATCAAGGCAAGGCACTCGGTTCATGTTTAGGTAGTAACCTCGTGAATCTCTCCAACCTTACATATAGCCGTTTTTGCTCTTTGTACTTTTGTAGTTATACGTGATGGTATTCAATTCTGTCATGAATTCGTATCCGCTGTATTTTGCGAAGGTCTACGTAAATGGTATAGATATTTGACATACAATTGAAGGTGGATATGCTATCAGAGGTATAGGTCGAAAATAAACGTTAAACTTTGCACTCTTAAGGGTTACAAGAATTCTGACTATGGAATTGCAGCCACACCCATACATTCTATAATTTCTTAATACGCGTTCCATAAAGTATATTCTAACATGCTAGACAGCTCGGATGTCATCCGTGTGCTGCCCACTGTATCGCGCTGCTGCGTGTTGCTCAGTTTAATGGGACAAATGATTTGATCTTTGCATACCCGGTCCAAAACTACAGAAACAGGACAACGCGTGTCCTTAATTTCTTCTGTACGTACTTTCACATACATACCTCGTATGGTATTGGTGGAAACACCGCCCCATCACACCCCCTACCTCCCTCCACGGAAATAAATAAATAATAAAATTGGGATTGCTCAGGTAGGTAGCACTTTGAAAGGAAGGGGTGGGTGTATGGATGAGGACGCTTGGCCTTCAACCTCAGTCTCCGCTCAACAAGATCACGTATTCGCATCCGCATGTTTGCGTTTACGCGTTGTTTCGTATGCCACAAACAGGGCATATATAATGAGAATTTGAGCCTACAATGGGTCATATAGTTGGTATGTTCTCATATTGTATGTCTGAATGGACGCTGATAACTGCCCGGTATGCTTCACATCTGCATATCCTCGCGTTTTGGTGCACTGCACTTTGCACCTGACAGACTAGGGCCGGTGCGTAATGCACCTGTATTGCCCTCATAAAAGGTTATGGCTATAAAAAAGCCCTGTAATAACCTAAAAACTGGCTAGTAGCTCGTGCCGACACCCCATATCTCTATAGCGAGCACCTTGAAATCCTTTTCATCGGACAGTGGTTCATTGTTGTAGGTATCGCAGTGATCTGAGTGACCGTGCGACAATGACTCATCTACCCACAGCCCATATTTACCATCTCCACTGCCCAGGTGCAACGATTCTTCTGAGCACTGTGGTATTTAAAATGTATACATACACAAAGCATTTAATATGTAATTATAAATACATACTATATATACATATTATATATATATATATATATATGTATGTATACATACATATATGCATATATACTGTAGTATTTAAAATGTATACATACATATAAAGCATTTAATATGTAATTATATATACATACATATATATATATATATGTATTTAGATATATGTAATATATATATATATAATATATGTACATACACACACTCGC